TCTCTGTGTTTATTTAATGCTCTGTCATCTCCCACTTGCTTTGCTTAGTTTAGGTCATAGGCTTTGTGGATTTTAGTCTTTCAGCTTTGTAAGTGTTAAAAGCCACCTTGACACTGCTACTGTCCCTTTACACCTTGAATTTTTTTAATGCAATTTTACTACCTTTTGCTAGTGATGAAGGAACCCTTTCAAGAAGAGGAAGCCCTCTAAGCTCTTCTTGGATCTATAACAAATATATGAACCTCCTAAGGAAGTTCAAGAATAAAGAACCCTTTCTAAGGTCTTCTTGGAAAGAAGCATTGAAAACACACTGAAGTGGATTCTAAGAGCTCTTTGGAAGGGAAACTCCAGTTGATGTGTTCTTTTTCTAAAAGACTGTTTTTGCAAAGTGAACCAGAAGGACCAGAACCTCAAGAAACTCCTCCAAAGAAAAACAAACTTTCTGCATTGCTGGGAGTCCAGCAGTGATGCCAAGTACTCCCAAAGATATGCAGTCCCTCACACTTGAAAACTTTCTAAAGTCTTTGCCTTAAGGCAAAGCCTGAGACCCAATGGTACACTTTTGCAATTGATGCTTTTACAGAATGAAATGTGAATTGCTATTTGTTGTATCACAATGGTGGAAGCATATGTTATTTTTTACAACTGTATATGTATGTTTAGGGATTTGGCAGGAAGTTGAGACTATTGCTAGCAATTTCCACCTCTTCCTACCATAGGTAAAACATCTTCACAGGAAACAGGAAAAGGTGCTGTATTTCTGTTTAACCATGATGTAGGAAATTCATTGAGTTTCTTCCTTGCAATTTGTATGCGCAGGTTTGTCGTTAAGTATTACTGATTGCAGCAACAGTATGCTCAGAGATATAACATTTTACTTCATTCCATGCAGTTAAAAAACATCTTTGAGGCTCTTTTTAGACTTCCTGCTAAAGTCATGGGTGATAATATGGAAAAGCTTCACTGATTTTAAACCTTTGTATTTATTTATAGCCATCATATAAAATAACAGTGCTGGAGAACTAGAAGGGTGCTATTCAGTATGGATGAAGCCTGAATAAAATTACTGATGACAGCAAAAAAAAAATGTTCTGAAGTACACAGAGGAAATGTGTGAAGTTGTGAGGAATTGACCCCTCAATTGCTATTCCTATTTCTTAACTATAAGGACAATCTTTTGTCTACTGGAATTTTATTAGATGAAGAACAGACCACTCTAAAAGGCTTCACAACTTCCCTCTGAGTTAAGTCTTTAAGAAAATATATTTCTTAGTATTAAAATAAACCTAAAAATTGTCTTTGACCAAAATGTGTTGCTTCAGAGTAATTAATGAGTCTGTCCTATGTGAGATTTATACCTTTTCAAGATGTCTTGAAAAACCATCCACAATGGCTCCAACACAATGGTTGGAGTACTATGGATTTGTTTACACAAGTAAAGGAGATGGGGGAGGCTAGGAGTGGTCAGATTCAAGTGGACAGTTGGTCTGAGAAGGAGAGAAAGAAAGAATGGATGGATGTTCTTGACCTAGCTGCAAGAAATTCCCTTATTTCAAATATAATCAGGAAAGAATGAAAAAAAACCCTAACACTTTCTGTAGCAGTCAGTTAATCATGTTATATCGTTTAGTATTCATATATCCTGTTCATTATAGTGTTTAATATTTAGTGTGTGACTAGCAAAGCCCTTCATTCCTTGGCTGGAGATTTTGTACGTTTTTGGGGAGTTGGGAATCCAGAATCCCTTGCAATTCCAGGAGAGTTTCATGCCATTTGAAAATCTCATTTTAATGCCTACCTACATTTTCTTTCTTTGCAACTGGCCTCTCCGTAGGTGCAACGAAATGTTTGGAGAAAAGAGCTTTCTCATCATACTGTAATCCCACTGGCAACAAAACGCTGGTGGGAGAGAAAGGTACTATGGCTTGTCCTAGATGTGACCAGCTGAGCAAGTCAAGATTGTGCTTTCTGCCCTCATGAAGTATTGCATCTGCTTTCACTCTGCGAGTGCTCTGCAAGGCTTCATAGCCTACATCTAGGGTAGTGCTACTTGTTTAGTGCTGTAATGGCAAGCTCTGCACACACTATAACTTCAATTCCCGTATCTTCAGATCATGTGTTTCTCATGTCTTCTTCTTTAAGAAGTCATTAATTAAAGGACTTCTATTCATCTTGATATATGGGAACTATTAGCATATATCTCTAGTCTGGTTTTGGTGCATGCTAATCACATTTTCATTGATTGCAGGAGATTTTTGCTTAGAAATAATAGGATTTGTTTTTGAAACTGTTTAATACAACCTGCCTGTTCTGTCAGCATCAGTATTGACAGCTCCCTCTTAGCATTAAGTTTTAAAGTGAATCTGTGGTTCTTGCAGAGTAATTAATTAGTCTTTGGAAATAGAACAGACTGACAGTGTCTGAGAGAAAGGAGTGGCCACCTGATTTGATTAATTAGTGTTTGTTCAGGTAGTGGGTAATTGTTATTTACAAACTATATTAAAGACTTTGTCATCTCAGGATGTTTTTTGAAAACACATATGACTTCATTATAAAGTCAAATTAGATTTTACTGATTACTGAATCAGTACTAAAATTACAGACGAGCCTGCTCTTCGGATTTTCAGATCCTGGAAATTTACTTGGAAATTCAACTTATTATAGACCATGAATTTTTGGCTTAGCTTGTTGTCAAGATGGCATTCAGACCTAACTCTGAAAATCCCACAAAAGATTTGGTGTTCACATGTTGGACTTGGATTGAGGCCATCCCTAGTTATAATGAGCAAAGGCTACACAGAGTAGGCAGCACGTGCGGTATGTGAATTGTCTGTCTTGTGCTAGGCTAAGTTATGACCATCTCTACATCTTCCTTGTCTTTTATGATACTAATTTAAACAGTGTACATTGAGTAACTCTGAAACAATTTATAGCTGGATGTCAATGCCGTATAGAGAAATGGCTTAAACTGAAAGCAAGCATTGTGTGAGCAAAGCCTGATGATACTTCACATTTAATCTTTATTAGGAAATGTAGATGAACCATTTAGAATTAAATGTTTGACAAATTATTATTTTTGTTAGATTGTTAAACTGGATTGCCCACTTTATATGATATTTAGTAAGACAGGACACAAATGTTGTTTCCAGATTATTTATTCTTGTGCCACATCAATTGCCCGTTTATTTTTAAATATTTATGATCATCTCAGTTTTGCGCTGATGTTGGTAATGGTTATGTTTTTTTACTCTTATGGTTTTCCAAGTTCTGGACACAGAGACATGCTGAAGTCTTTTCCGCTCCCTTCTCGACTGTACAGTAGGTTCATGGGGATAGCTGGGTATAGGTCTTCCAGAGAGCTCTGGAAACCAAGGCTCTATCTCTTCTCCCAGCATATGCTGAATGCAATTAGGCACCAGTTCAGAAAAGGCTTTGTAAACATTCTGAATCCATGCCACGTTTTCTGGTCTCAGGAGCTGCCAAATGCCTAAATGCTGTATTCAAGCCAGATGTCTAAATATATAAAATGAATGACTGAACAAAGTGCCTCCTTAGTGGAGCATATGCCTAGAGGATGGACAGACCTGAGGGGTCTGAGATCAGCTCCAGAACATGATGTTCTGCCAACCCACATCCCTGGCGACTAGGAGGGAGAGCAGAATATACTCTCCTGGATGAGGTGTACGAGGAAGGAGCACCCTCGCTCTCATTCTTTGCTTTCTTGGTATGGGATACCAAGCCTCAGAAATCTCTGCTAGCAGTATCTTAAGGCAAACTCTGCCGCCTCTTGGTGCATACACCTGCCTCTGGGAC